GCAAGTGATCCTTTGTCGTTGGTAATTAACATAAAATGGCGCGCTTTTTGTAAGTCTGTGACCACCACTGTCGTTCTAGATATTCGACTTTTTTTCTCTTATGGTGAGATAATAACACCAACGAATTGTTTCCCTCTACATTGTGTAAGTTAGATGTGTGTTTGTGTACCACTACTGCTTTTCATAGGTTTCACTGACCGCATCTCGTGATCCTTTGTGGTTAGTAATTAACATAAAATGGCGGGCTTTTTGTAAGTCTGCGTCCACTACTGTCGCCCTGGGAATTCGACTTTTTTCAGATGCGTGTTTGTGTACCACAACTGCTTTCCTTGGGCTTCGGTTTCCCTCTGAATTAAATTGTGTAAGTTAAATAGTTAAATATGTGTTTGTGTACCACTACTGCTTTCCTTGGGCTTCGGTTTCCCTCTGAATTAAATTGTGTAAGTTAAATAGTTAAATATGTGTTTGTGTACCACTACTGCTTTCCTTAGGCTTCAGTTATTATTTCCTATCTCTGATCTTTATTTTTAAACCTAAAAGCAGCCTATCTCTGATCTTTATTTTCAAACCTAAAAGCAGCCTGTAAAATAAAACAAGACTTAAAATAAAACAAAGACATTATGTTACTTGGCCTGTCACTCAACCACATCATGCTAACTAGTTGACCTGTCAATCAACCACATCATGCTAACTATCCCGCAGCCACCTCCCCCTCACCTAAATGGTATAGTCCAACACGCAAGTTATTGGCAATTCAATTGACCACATCCGATAAATATAGGTGTCCTTAAATGCCCAGGTAAAGAAATACACTTCTAAACAATAGGGATTATTTCCTTGAAAGTCGTGCTGAAGTAAACAGCTCCATCCAAGCTCCGTTAAAGACACGTTTTCTCGAACTTACAGATCGATTATGTCATGCCAAAGTGGATGTATGTGACTATGAATATCACAGCAGTGATTATATATAGTATTTATGACAATAAATAGTGTAGGAGTTGAGATTTTGTCAGATAAACCACAGTCACTCTACTGTGGATAAACGTCAAAAACACAAACAGGGAAAAAGGACGTGCTTCTAGGCTTAATTAACTGCTGTCAATCAATGTCACGTGACATTGGGCCGCTGAACAGGTTGCGTCATCAAATCTCAAAAAACATTTACACGTTCCTAAAGCTTTTCTCATTATCACATAACAGATTCAACGAAATTAAAAAGTTGCAACAGAGAGTACGAGTCAGAAATACCCCTAGTCGTGTTTTAATGAAATGAATATTGTGTTTAGTATTCTTTACTGTTACTTGGTAATAGAGAAATAAAGAGTGTATAACAGGTGTGATTCCTTGGTTAAAATAATCCAGCAAAAAATGGATCAATTAAAAAGTAATCTTTCATTTGAAAAATAACATGTTTGCATTGTCTGTTGAAATTTGTCTGAGAGCAAAAAATTAAATCTCCTGAACATAGTATATGTATAAAGGCAAGTGATAAAGGGTATATTGGTGGAGCTATGAATTTGGAGAATGATAATCAGCTTTGGGGGGGGGGGGGGGGGGGTCTTGATTGATGTGCAAGTGATAGTTGAGTGGAGTGATCACTGTTCTTACGTGGAATGCTCTGCACTTATTAAAGTTGGAGTTGCATTCTGGGATGATACTTTTAGGTTTGTTGCTCCTCCAGCACAAAATATTTGTGGTCATAAAAACAGATGACTTGAGGAGTCAGAAAGCTAAACTGGAATTTTTATTTTAGAGTTATCTATTACAAATGTAATTGTTGACGATGACAATTTTCAATTGTTTTATATATCTCTTCATGTAATTGTATTTTTTTTTCTATTTAAGATTCACAAATATGCAACAGGGTCAGCATGGAGAGGACAAAATTTACATTGGAAAAATTCAGATATATTGGATAAGGTGAGTTCTCGAAAAAATCTTGCTCTCGTTATTATCTCTCGGCAAATATTCTAATTTTAGCCAGAGAGGTGTTATACATGTATACACTTACTGATACCCCCGCTTGCATGCAGAAGTGCATGGAAATATAACAAAAAAATTCATCTGAGTGAGTTCAGTGTATTTTTCTGGGACTTAGATGTCAATGTCTCTCTGTACTACTTGAGATGATGACTTTATTATTATACATCTTTTTCCTGCTTGTACACTGTAGTAATAATTTAATGGGGAATTACCAGTACATCCGAAATGGTACGAACGTTTTGTGTTGTACATTCAGTAAGAGGATTATATGTCCGTCAGAAGTAGTGATTCTGTGTTAAATGTAAACGAAGAAAAGTGTCTGAATGTGAAAGTTTTATATGTTGGTGATGTAGTTTACCCCATGTGAGGACAAATTTGAATGTTCTAACGAGTACTGATACATTTTTGAACAAGTATTGATACAGCTTTTCATGGCAAATTCCATTTCCAGTGTTAGATGTATAATAATACCTTTTTATTTTCCAGTCTAAATCATTACCCTTATTGACACCTGGTTTATATCGTGATTGTTTTCACGGCCATGGTGTGGCTGGTCTACCTGCCCCAGATGACGGCTCTAAAGATGGCGTTACAGGCTGGCAAATAATGAAAATTATGTCATCATATATCTGGCCTAAAGATTCATTGGGAATCAAAGTTCGAGTTGGTGTGGCGTTGAGTTTGTTAATTGGGTCAAAGGTAAGGGGAGATATGATCAGCACATACATGTACATGTTATTTATCGTAGTTATATTCAGTGATGTGGACAATTCACCTTTTCATGGAGTTCCTTACATGAACAGCATCTTACTAACAGCATGGCAGCGACTACTTTTTGCTGTTGCCTGAAATTCTGTTAATATTCAGACAGAATATGTGCTTTCAAGACTTTAATATATGCATGAAATATACTGTTAGAAAAAGCTGGTAATTTTTTATATAATTGGCAAGTAAAAAAAACCAAACAAATGTTTTTAGACCAGGAAGCAAGGTGTGTACTAGTATATGTACCAGCACACATTTTCAATGATGAGATGCTAAATTGTTCCTGTTATGGACATTGAGTTACAAAAACATTGAGTTACGAAAATGACCACACCCAATTTAGAAACCACCCCTCCATTTGCGGGACCTCGTCTAAATTATAACTCGATGTTCAATTAATAGTTAACAGAATTTCGAGTTACAGGTAACATTGATTTTTTGTTTTGTTTAACTTTTAAATTTATTAACTAAAATGTTAATTTACAGTTAACCGTATTTTGAATTGGGGGAAACATTAAACAAAACAGAAAATATATGCAACTGTTCGTTAAGATCCACTTCTATTGGAGCATTTGTTCATACTTTTTCGATTATAAACGAAACATTATAATCTATTATTGCTTTCAGCTGATGAATGTCCAAGTACCATTTATATTTAAATACGCAATAGATTATCTGAATACAACTCCAGCTGAAGTAGCTACAAGCAGTTATGTGGGTGGTGCTATGACTGTAGCTACAGCCATGGTACTTGGCTGTAAGTATTATCTATTACGACCATTACAAAACTATAAACTTCATTCTAAGGTCTATGATACTACAATCACGGGTCATTCTGTTGTTACCCTGTGTATATCTTTCACTCATGTCGGCCCCTCTGTCAGATCTGGATATTTTAAATTTGGTTTGGTTGGTTGTGTCCCAGAACATCTAATTTGCATATCAATTTTGACTAATTTACATATAAATGTCATATCAGTTATTGTGATAATGAATATCATCATACACGTAAACACGTTATCACCTACATGTATGTGTGATGTCACGCTGCGATGATTTGCATTTCATAATTTACATATCACCACACATGTGTGATATGGTTTTGGAATACTTTCAGGGTTTACACTGTTTGCCGCTACTGTAAACAAGTTTGGAATGTTATGAAACATACACAACAAAAAAGATGTACTGGGAAAAACTATTGATATCTTTACAATGTTGTATCGATACGTAACAGTGGCATTCCACTGTGTGTTTGAATACATCATGCGAAACATCTGTTCATAACATTCAAATAGTTCCATCATTTATTCAATAAAAATCAAACAATTCTTACTAGAAATTTGACTACGCTTTGGGATCTGTGTCAACGATGTGATTAATAAATAATCTCCCAGTATTCCTCACTCATTTGACTTCATCTTGGACTTGTGGCTGTATTCCTCTTTGCCTATGGCTTTGAGGAATATGATCACTACCGGTATACGTTGAGTTGGTTCATGATGATGTCATACTCATTTGGAATACCGGGGAATTATATATGCATGCGTAATAATTAGCATATCAATTACTTATCGATGGTGTTGGGGGAGTCGTCACCTGCGGCACTCAGATATTGAGTGAGGAAAATAGGTGAGAAATTGATAGTGAATTTATATCCCTCAGAAAGTACCAGGATGTGTGACCTTTTGGGAGGAAATAATAATTGAGAAATTCTCAGTGAATTTGTACCTCCAGAAAGTACCAGGATGTGTGACCTTTTGAGGGTTCCAAGCATAAAGCCTGTAACTCTGTAGTATTTTTTTTCATATACCTAGATGGAGCAGCCAGGGCCAGTGCATCGCTGTTCAATGAAGCAAGAAATGCCGTGTTCGCTAAAGTAGCTCAGAATTCAATACGTAGAGTAGCAAAGAATGTGTTTTTTCATCTTCATCGACTTGACTTGAGTTTTCATTTAACTCGTCAAACAGGAGCTCTCTCTAAAGCTATAGACAGAGGTAGCAGGTAAGTTTTAACTCGTCAAACAGGAGCTCTCTCTAAAGCTATAGACAGAGGTAGCAGGTAAGTTTTAACTCGTCAAACAGAAGCTCTCTCTATAGACAGAGGTAGCAGGTAAGTTTTAACTCGTCAAACAGAAGCTCTCTCTATAGACAGAGGTAGCAGGTAAGTTTTAACTCGTCAAACAGAAGCTCTCTCTATAGACAGAGGTAGCAGGTAAGTTTTAACTCGTCAAACAGGAGCTCTCTCTAAAGCTATAGACAGAGGTAGCAGGTACGTTGTTTACCAACACTGTATGTAACATTAGTACATGTTGTACTTGTAATTTGTATATGAAGAGAGACAACAGTTAAAGTCATGTGAAACTCAGTAAACATATGACATTTCAATTTGCATAATTGAGTTATAAAGAATACTATA